TTGATGAATTTAAATGTAAAAATCCTCAGTAAAATACTAACTAATAGAATACAGCAACACATACATAAAATTATACACCATGACCCAGTGGGATTCATCCCAGGGATGCAAGGTTGGTTCAACATATGCAAGTCAGTAAATGTGATACACCACACCAACAAAATCAAAGACAAAAACCATATGATCATCTAGATCTGTAGATGCTGAAAAAGCATTTGAAAAATTTCAACATTCTTTCATGATAAAGACTCTCTATAAGTTAGGTATAGAAGGAAAGTATCTTAAAACAATTAAAGCCATATATATGACACACCTACTGCCAATATCAAACTGAATGGAGAAAAGTTGAAAGTTTTTCCCTTAAGAACAGGAACAAGACAAGGATGCCCACTCTCATCACTCCTATTCAACACAGTATTGGAAGTACTAGTCAGAAAAATCAAAGAAGACAAAGAAATAAAGATCATCCAGACTGGAAGAGATGAAGTCAAATTTTCCCTGTTTGCAGATGATATGATCCTATCATATATATTTATTTAAATATGTTTCATATTTATTTATACAGACTCTACAGACTCTACAAAAAAACTCTTAGAGTTGATAAATGATTTCAGCAAATTTGTAGGATATAAAATTAACATGCCAAAATCAATAGCATTTTTATACTCCTACAATGAACTAGCAGAAAAAGAAATCAAGAAAGCTAGCCCATTTACAATAGTCACCAAAGAAATAAAATGCCTAGGAATAAAATTAACCAAGGATATGAAAAATCTCTATGATGAAAACTACAAATTGCTGTTGAGAGAAATTAAAGAGGACACAAGAAGATGGAAAGATACCCCATACTCTTGGATTGGAAGAATTAACATTGTGAAAATGTCCATACTACCCAAAGTGACCTACAGATGCAACACAATCTCCATCAAAATCCCAGTGTCATTCTTCCCAGAAATGGAGAAAACAATTTCAACATTCATGTGGAATAACAAAAGACCATGAATTATCAAAGCAATTCTGAGCAAAACAAATAAAGCCAGAGGCATAATACTACCTGACTTTAAACTATACTACAAAGCTATAGCAATCAAAACAGCATGGTATGGGCATAAAAACAGACATATGGACCAATAGCACAGAATAGAGAACCCAGAAATCAATCCACACACCTACAGCCATCTGATCTTTGACAAAGGCATCAAGAACACACACTGGGGAAGAGACTGCCTCTTCAGTAAATGATGCTGGGAAAATTGGATATCCATATGTAGAAGAATAAATCTAGAACCATACCTCTCAACATATACTGAAATCAACTCAAAATGATTAAAGAATTAAATATACATCCTGAAACAATAAAACTCCTAAAAGAAAACATGGGGGAAACACTTCAGGAAGTAGGATTGGGCATAGACTTTATGAATATGATGCCAAAAGCACAGACAACCAAAGGAAAAGTAAACAAATGGGATTATATTGAACTAAAAAGCTTCTGCACATCAAAAGAAATGATTAACAGAGTGTAATGACAACCAACAGAGTGGGAGAAAATGTTTGCAAAATATGCATCTGACAAATGATTAATATCCAGAATATACAAGGAAATCAAACAGCTTAACAGCAAAAAACAAGTAACCCAATTAAAAAATGGGCAAAGGAGCTGAATAGGAAGATATACAGATAGCCAACAGACACATGAAAAAATGCTCAACATCACTCAGCATTTTGGAAGTGCAAATAAAAACCACTTTGAGATATCATCTCACTCCAGTCAGGATGGCTAATATCCAAAAGACTGAGAATAATAAATGCTGACAAGGATGCAAGGAAAAGGGAACCCTCCTACACTGTTGTAGATACTGCAAAATGGTGCAGCCTTTATGGAAAATGGTATGGAGGTTCCTCAAACAATTACAGATGACCATAAAAAACAACTACCATATGACCCAGCTATTCCACTGCTGGGAATATACCCAGAGGAATGGAAATCATCATGTTGAAGGGATACCTGCACTCCTATGTTGCAGCACTATTTGCAATAGCCATGAGTTGGAACCAGCCTAAATGCCCATCATCAGATGAGTGGATAAGGAAAATGTGGTATATCTACACAATGGAATACTTTTCTGCTGTAAAAAAGAATGAAATACTACCATTTGCAGCAACATGGATGGACTAAGAGGAAACTGTAGTAAAGAAAGAAATACCACATGTTCTCACTTATATGTGGGAGTTAATAAAAATAAATAAATATACAAATAAATGGGGAGGGGAGAAAAAAGAAGACAACATAAGTGAACAGATATGATGTTGATGGGAGGGGGGAGAGGGAGGAATTGGTAAAGAGACATGAAAATCATCTACATTGAATATTGATAAATGAAAAAATAAAAAGTCAATAAAAATGTTTCTCTAATCACTATAGGTTTGCTTCCTTGAGCACTAAATTTGGTTGCGTCCTTAATTTCTTTATCTTAAAATTTTATTTTTGAATTCAGAAAAAAATAACTTTGTTTTCTTCCCTAGGGTTTTATTTCTTTTGGAATCTTTGGATTGGACAAACATTTAATCATCCTACCTTTCAAAAGAAGGTAAATTTAGTTTTGAAATAAACCTAAATCTGTAAAGGTGAGGACAAAGCCATTCTATTAAGATACTGATATTTTTAAACCTTTAGTAACTGCTAGGAGACCACTAAATGCCACACAAAGGTTTTCTGTTGATTCATATATTTGTTGTAGATAATTGCAGAGAAAATATTGGAAGAACTATTATAAACCCAGCATTGTAATTTGCATTTTAATAAGAATTGATGGATGCTGACTTCTATGTATGCTATTAACCACATAAAGTTAAATGAAACTTGAAAATGTCTTTAGAAATAGAAGTGGTAGGTGGTTTGCCCCCAGAGGTCTATATTTTGATTGTCTTTCTCCTTTCACAACATGATTCCTCTTTCTATCAAACTGACAGCTTATAGAAAACTCAAGTTTTTCTAAATTTGGGGGTTTTTATTAGCTTAATGAAAGCTTTCTTTGAATTAAGATCAGGGATTTCTTTATGAAAAGTAACAAATGGGAATACTCCAACTTGGGGGTGGAAGGAAGAAGCAGGGGGGCAAGTCTTTATACTCTTCATTTGTTTTCAAAGTCAAAATTAGTAGAAACTAGAAATGCTAATGGAATTTATCCTACCAGCTCTATGAAAAGTGCCCAGTAAATGGTAACTGTCCCTTCGTACTTCTTCTTATCCATCATCATCATCATCATCATCATCATCAAGATGTAGTTGCTAGGGTCATAATCATTTCATAAAGGAACATACTTCTTCTTATCCATCATCATCATCATCATCATCAAGATGTAGTTGCTAGGGTCATAATCATTTCATAAAGGAACAAAAGCATAATAGGAAAGTCATTGAACTTAGTTACCAGTTTCAGAATGTTAATCAGGTGAAGTAGTCAACCATGCTATTGTCTGGGCTGACAGAAACAAACATGTTCTATACTCCAGATCCTGGTATTTCTCTCATGGTGCTGAAATTGAAAAATGAATAAGTAAAATACTTGACCTCTAATTTATATTTGTGTTTCAAAACAGTGGAACATAGAATAAGGGACAATTTATTGGTAGATATTGAAGTGGGTCAAACGTGTCAGGAGGGTTTATAAAATAATCAAGTCCTCCGCCCCACCCTGTTTTGAATAGGAAACTGAATGCAGAATAAGAATGTTTCTGCTTCAAAGACTAATGATGTCTGGGTGTTGTAGATGACCACCTTGGTGAATGATAGCTTTGAAACAGCCATTTTGATGGGGTAATAAGGCAGAAGTTATTCTCTGTCAAGTGCTTTTCTTTCCTTAAAAATGGCCTCCTTAAATTTTTGTTTCCAGACTTGAATTCCTATGGAACAATAAAGACACATCAGGAAATAGGGATTCTCCTGTTTCTGAAGAAATAAAAATGACCTGTCAACAATTTATCCATTATCACCGTGACCTCTGTATCCAAAACATTGTCAAGGAAAGAAGGTAAGCAAACTCCAATACAGGTTCCAGATAATTATATTTTAGATGATTAATTTTGGATTGTAACAGGCTAAGTAATATGGCCATGACTGACTATGACAGTTATTTTCAATAACACACATACATGTAGAAGTTAAAATAGTTATGGTCAGTTTATAGTTTAAGAAATAGTATATAAAAGGGCCACATCACTTTGATTTTAATATTTTAAGAATTCTGATTTGCATATAAAACATGAAAACTTAAGAATGAACCAAAGGGGCCGGCCCGGTGGCGCACTGGATAGTGCGCCGCTTGGGAAGCGCGGCGGCGCTCCCGTCCGAGGGTTCGGATCCCACATGCGGACCGGTTCCCGCTCACTGGCCGAGCGAGGCACGGGAGCAGCGCCGAGGGGTGCGATCCTGGGGC